TAATCTACATAATTTTTTGATGCTTTTTCAGTTAAAATACTCGACAGTGAACAATCCTTCAAGTTTAATTTTTATTTCGCCAGTTTTTCAATTGTTTATTGATAACTTTTTGGTACTATTGACTCAATTGTAGCTTATTTCTTATACATTTCCACATACTGACTTATCTCAGACTACGCTCTTTTCTGAAGGCTACGAGCAAGCAACTTTCACTCCCTGCTTAACGAAAAAGGAAAAAATAAATTAGAAAGCAAAGCGGATACGCCCAGCAATAATTTTTTGTTCAGCAACAGCAACAATGCGGCAAAATTCGTCCATGGGGACTGGGTTGCGGCTCCAAAACTCTAGCCAATGCACAAATATGCAGACAAAGTCGAATGCAAACCGCTGAGCATTTGGTATCGGCACCGACCGGGTCTGGACCATTTGTAAGGCCGTCGCGTTGCGCTATGTTGTTGCTATTGTTGTTAGTGGTGGTGCTGTTAGTGGTAGTGGCGGCAGCAGCTGCTGCAACCGCATCTAAAATGTGCATTTGGCCTAAAGGTGTACGTGCGCCAAAGTCGACCGCACCCCACGTGCTTTTTGTCTTTGGGCGTGCACAGTGATCGAAAACAATGTTCAAGTGGTTAAAACCAAAATTAAATGTATCCTTATTCATTCAGTTAGTTAGTTAGCGACAAACAAGTCTATCGATGCAACAAAAGCCGTTCAGAGAAGCCCATCAAATACTTGTATTAAATTTTATATTTATTATGATTATTAATTTATATTTTATAGATTATATTACATATTTTGGGGCCAGGTTGCCTCGATCCATAGCTCAATTCAATTTATATTTGATAGGCCCCATGATACTGTTTTGTTTTTGGGAAAATATTATTGACAGACACATTTTTTTTGGAAATGATGGAAAGAAAATTAAGAAAATAAATTTAAGAAAAATAGGTCTTCTGATAGTTTGTGAATCTTCCTACATCGATTTAAATACACATATATACTATAATTAAGTGCAAATTATTTTGTAAGCTTGTGTATGAATAGATAGTTTTGTAAAGAACTGGCAATATGGGTACGTGTTCCTCATTTTTGGGATCAATTAAGAGTTTTAAGAGTTCTTAATAATTTTTCCCCACAGCTAGAACACTAATGCTGAAATCAATCGCTTTCAAGCTTTTATTATTTGTTGGAATTCGAAAATAGAAACAGGTTTATTTGAGTTGTCATATTTCATGTTGCTTGGTTTTTCGGCAATAATAGTTTTGTAGGAGAATGGTTCTCTGCCAACAATCGTAGATAATGCAAGAGAAGCAAATACTCGTAAGTAGCCTTAAATTCGTACCACTGTATCATTTTTCTTGTAGAATTAAAATACATGAACTAAATATTGTAAATATACGTATACGTAAGTATATATCCCCAATTCCTCGAATAGGATGCGAGCTTGTTTAATCATTTACTACTTATTTTTGAAATAGTTAATTGAATTACAATCGAATGTTTCCCAACTCAAAGCTTTTTATGCAATAGAAGTAGAAAACAATTCAACTGAAGTTGTGTTCAAAATTCCAATACTCAATTGAGTGCTCAACATTGTCCCTAATAAGAGTTTAACTATTTAATACTTATTTTTCAAATGAGTGGAGCTTAACTATTTAATACTTATTTTTCAAATGAGTGTTTCCCAACACAATTTTCCAGACTTTTGACATCGTTAATAAATTGAATTAGTTTCGAATGTGGAATTTGCAGCTCAGCTCAATTTAATTTCGTAGCCACTGTATTGGTGGGGCATTAAATTTGGCGCGACCGAAAAAACTAAAATAAAAAAACAACAAAAAAATTACTACAAAAAGTGGCCGAAACGTCAATGGTTGTTGCAAAGCTAGTTGAGTTTTTAGCCACAGAGCCTTTTGCCTGTGGCGCGACGGGCTGCAAGGAGGTGGGGGCGCATGCGGACATTGGTTGCCATTGAAAATGCATTGCATTGTTGTTGTTGTTGTTTCTGGTGTTTGTTGCTTTTGCTGTAGTTTTGGCCACGTTTGCATTTGTCTAGCCCGTTGTGACAGTCAGCCAGTTTGTTAGTCAAGCATGCCAGGCAAGGCAAGGCAAGGCAGGCAGCTGGCCAGCTGTTTGTTTGGGCTTTGTTTTTTGTTTTTGTGTTTTTTTGTTTTTTTGTTTTTGTTTATAGGTGCTTGTGGCGCTGGCGTTTCGGCGTTTGGCGTTGAAAACATAACGAATTGTTGTGGCAATCGCTTCGTTCCAATTGAATGCCTGCCGCAACATCGACGCCAGCTCAAGCTCCAGCTCCAACTTCAACTGCAACTCTGACTCCTTTGGCTACAGCTGCATGATAAATTTGTTTAGCATTAAACGGGCAAACGGGCAAACATTTTGGTGGGCGCTATGCATGAATTTATGAACTCATTGCATCGGCCTTTATTATAAACATTTGCGCCAATTTCCATTTGACAGTTATGGTTAGTCGCCGATTTTCTGTGAGCCGTTGGCATGCAAAAGCTAATTACAACTTCTATACACATACAAGTACATATCTACCTTATACATACATACATGTATGTATGTACGAGTATGTAGGAGTGTCTGTGTGTGTGTCCGCTTTCTGTTTTGTGATTTATGCGCGCAGTTCTCCTCATAAAACTCATTTCGATGCTCGGCTTTCAGGTTATTTGCTGCTGAGCTCCATCCTTTCCTTCTTTCTCTGTCCATGCTGGACACGTTTTTATACACTTTACTTAAAGGGTAACAGGGGTATGCTAGTTTGTTTGGAATGTTTGCAGCACGCAGAGGCTAAGCAATGCAAATTTACTTACTAAGTAGCATAGAGTGTTCTTTCCATCTCTTCTGAGCCACAAAAGCTATAGATCTTTAGCTTGTAAAATATCGTAAATTGTACGTATTAGTGTCTACATATATCGTCTGAACAATTACAGCTGGAGACACAAATATAGACTTGCCTTATTGTTATGCATATAACGTTTATTTTTAATGATCAAAGTTTACTTGAAAAATATTGTTCCTATGTTTTTTTCGATTGAACAGCTTTAGTGTTGTTTATTTATTTATTTCATAGACAAACAATGCAGTCGATGTAAAAAAAAAGAAAAAAAAAAATACAATACAATAGAGAACTTAAACTAAATAAAACTAAAGAAATAAAAAAGGCTAATATATCTGCAATAGGAAGGATTTCTAGACGTTTAAGTACATTTTCGATCTCATTGTTTGCTTCAAAAATGTGTTATTTGTGCAAAACCAACATCCCAGAAGTATTTCCATAAATAAAAGTGGAAGTGAGTTCAATTTTAATATCAAAGCCATAAACTTAACCTTGAAACAGAGTGCTTCGTAGTCGGTCTCTAGCTTTCCCACTCGCTTCTATTTATAAGGTAGCAGTTGGTTTTTCAATGTTGGCTTAAATTGATTTTACCTGTTTGCTAGCCATTAGAAAGTGCGACCTAGTTGGACCCAGAAACGGGGCTGGCACTATAGCCACATACCAGCGGGCGTAGCTCAGCTAATTAGTTTGACTAAAGCCTTTTAGACAATGGCTCATAAAGTCTATCTTAGCCACTACTATGTAGCTGGCAACTTTAGCCATAAATTTGGCTGCTCTTCTGTTGTAATATCGTTTGTCAACAGTTTTAGCGTCCACATAAATTAAATAATAGTCAAGTGTAGTGCAACAGACACAGTGGAATCAACAACAACAGCAACAATAACAGCAACAAAAACAATTGCACATAACATGGTGTTAACATTTTTCGCCCCGAAGCGTAAAGAGGCAACTAACGAAAAAGTTGCATGGAAAACTAAAAAAGAAAAACCCAATGGAAAATGGGGAAAATCCATGAAAATTCAGCAGGCATAAAATGTTGTTGTTGTTACTTTAGCTGGTGTTGTTGTTGTTATTGCTGCTGTTGTTGCCTTTTGGTTGGTGTGTGTATAAAGAACTCAACTGACTCGACTCGACTCAACTCGACTTGACTCGACTTGACTCGACTTTCTAACTCTTTTGGTGGACTTGGCGCGCATTGAAAAGCCTTCTGTTGGCGGGTGTATTGTTTGCCCAACGTAGTTACAACAAAAACAACAACTGCAACAACAACTTCAGCTGTTGCTGGCTTGTTGTAGCACTTCGTGTAGTTGTCAACATTTTAAAACGATTTTCGCCTGATTTGACACAGAAAACTTATTAAAAGAGTCTGCCCTCTCTGTTCACTCTGTTCATCGACGCTCTCAGGCCCGATTGAGTTGTAGATCTGACAAATCTATTAGCCGACTTTATATAGCCGCAAGCAGCATGCCTGTCATTGAACCAATTAGGTGTCTCGAAATGGGCAGCGAGTTAGGCTCTACCTTCATTGTTGAGTGGCGCAACATTTTTGCAATTAAAATTTTACTTTAATTACAAAACACGTCACTTGGGGAGTCCCCTAATGTGTTTGTTCCCTAGCTTCCAGACTCTCCCTCTTAAGGGCAGTCAGCGATGCATGAAACCCGGCACCAGCAATGGCCACAAGTAGGGTTAGACCCTTACAATAAAGGTAAAGAAGAATACGAGAGGAACCAGACCAAGGTGCTGACTGATTTCAAGACGTCTTTTTGTTTTTGCTTGACTTATTTCTTGGCGGTTTCTAGCCAGAAAAGTGTGTAAGTCTGGGTGTGTGTGTGTGTGTGGGAATTTTCTTATCTGATTGTCGGCGCTTTCTTGTAAGACGGTTCGGTTGGTCTGTTTTTGTTGGATGGAATATATAATTATATGTAGATTTGTGTGGCGAGCCTATGATGCGTAAAAGTTTAGTTTTTTCTAAGCTTGGTTCCCATGATAGTTCTGTAAATTTACATGAAAATTAATCTATAGACTGTGCTAATAATATTCGCTTACAATATGTAAATGCCGAAAGTTTCTAATTCCAATTTGAGGCTCTACATTTTTTCATCAACTTATAATGCAACATACATTTTTGTTTTTGTTACAGACTTGGTTCTTTACGGATACCGATGACCACTACTACCAGGAAAAGACAAGTGAGTATTGACCAAAAAAAGATGAGCTAACAAGTTTTTTCTCATTTGCGAAAAAGGAAATCATAACTTACGTTTAGACTTTGATATATATGTGAGAACCTGCGACTGATTTTAGAGCTGTTTGCAAACAGTGAAGATCGATTATGAGCAAATCATTTTAGGTTGTTGAGTAAATTGTTCTCAAATGTATATTTGTTGATACTCTTGTATAGATTCTGACCGAGCACCTGTGCTGTTCCTTTGATTTAGAATTTGTTTTATTTAGATTTCAAGGCATTCTAATATTTAGAATGACATTCGCATAATTGTTGAACAAAATCGAATTTTCCATTTACCTATTGTTCTCACAATTTTGAACGCTTGTTGTTTCGAAAGAAAAGCATTTTTTTCGTGATTTCTTTCGACGCCTCTCTGAAATGATTATTTGATGATGATTTTATGAAAACTCTTAGATGCTGTATAAATATGACTTGCCATTTCGATTCCTTTTTTAAAAAGATAATATAGAATAAACGTTTATATCTTAATGATATTTAATATTATTTAAAGATTTCAATATCAAGAATTCGATATTTAATTACCTTTTCATAATATTTTGGTATTATGCTGCAGCAATTTCAATTGCTAATATATGTTAACTGCCTAATTCATTTTAGTATAATATATTCCATTAAAATTGGAGTAATTTGTGGTACTGTATAGATATTCAGATACTATATACATACTCATTTGATACCATTGTGATAGTTGATTTTGAAATACTGCGTTTGCATACTTTATTTCTAAAATCGATTTAGATTTGTTAGGTTAGCTAATGTTGTTTTCTCTTTATTCCAAATCTCTTGCTATAAACTGATGTTCTTCATCTTTGTTAATACAGCTTCAGATATTGTGTTCCCATGTTCCTTTTAACTGAACTCTACAGTATTACCCTTTTTTTTTTAGCTTTAGCGTCGTCGCTTTCTTAGCACCCGCGCATTTGGACGTTGCTCGTCCGCTTTTTAAATTTTGAGGTTGTTTTTTTTTTTGCATTTCAAGCGGCCGAACATATTTTTCGTTATGCCCCACAAAACAAATTTATCACAAAACGGGCCTCGGCTCCCAGTAAATGGAGAGTGAGTGCCCAGGCTTATGAGGTTGTACGTTTGTCCGTCTATCTGTCTGTCTGTCTGTTTGTCTGTCCTGTACGATCGACCTCTTACCTTTTGTGCTTATCGTCTCTTTCGGCGTCTGGAGCTCAATTTAGTTTCACATCAGAGACTGGCAACGCCCACCCGACCGCCTAATGTTGGCCACTGTCTGACGGAGGCCGCAGCGCCTGTCCGTCTTTCCCAAAAAACAAAGATGATTAAATTTTTGTAAAATTCCATACCATACAATATACTATACTATAGTTTATCGTACACGTATATGAGAGTGCTGCGCCGACGCAACTTGAGCATCAAGAAGCATCATCACTCACCCGCATTTTAATTGAATTGCAGACTGCGCTTCGATTTTGCGTGTCTGGGCTAAAAAGTTTAATTAAAAAAAGTTCAAATTTCAATTTCGTTTAAAAATTAAGAAAAAAATTGTATTTCATTTTTGCATACACGCCATAAGATGCTGTCCAAGAGACACGGCTCAGGTTTTACAGCAGTCTCAAGCCGGAGCCCTTTCCTTCCCTTTCCACTTCGTCTTGTGTTCCCCTTCCCTTTTATTTTGTTTTTGTTGACTTGAATTGCTTTTGGTTGGCATTTTGATTAGGCCAAGGAGCGAGCAAGTAAGCGATGCAAGGATTTTGCTAAACACGCGTTGGGATTTTGAGTTATGTGTTTCCTTTCTGTGCGCAAAAGGATAAGGGGTTGCGAAGACGGATAGGGACCTTAAGCTGTAGCTTTGCAAATGCAATCGTTTGTCTGTGTGTGCTTTAAATATTTGAACAATTTTCATCCAATTAAGGCGCAAAAGTTTTTGCACCGCTTTGCAGTTTTTTCTTTTTTTTTTCAATTCTCCTTTTTTGTTTTTGTTCTGTATTGATGTTCTTATTTTGTTCTGTTTTGTTTTTGTTGCACTTTGGTCGCTCTCTTTATCGGCGAACGCGGCTACAAACGCACAAAAAGATACAAAATGTATCCGCTGGATATGCGCTTTGGCTTCGACCGCTGTCGGCATTCTTAACTAACAAGCTACTGTTTCTCGTTGCCGCTGTTTCTGCTGCTCCCTTTGATATGAACTTGGCCTTTTAGTTAATTAACATAGAAGTGGTCGAGTGTTGTTGTTGGTGTTGTTCTGGCTCCTTTGTTCGCGCGTTGTTATTTTCTGTTAATTACCAATTTTTATCAAATTTCCTCTTCTTTTCTCTTCCCTGCCATTTTCAGAGGGCCATCTTATAAACACAAAATGCTCACAGGGCCACTTTCGCAAGGCTTTGTGCTGCAAAATGTCCGCCGAATTGGATATCTTTCTGCAGAGCGGCAAAAAGTGAGTATGAAAATACCAATCTGTACATATACATATATATACTATATATTTTTTTACTTTCGATCGCAACAGCTTTTACCCACCACAACAAAATTGTGCTTTTTTTTTTTGTTGACTCTTAAACAATTTCAATTTCATGCAGAATTATTGTATTAGCCAAGCAGCTGCAAATCTGCCAGACATACGCGTTTTCCTTTCCTCTTTCATATGCTCATATGCATGTATGTGTGTATGTTTGTACGTTTGTATGGATGTTTGGATGTACCGGGAACTTTGACCCAAAGTCAATGCCACCATGTCTCTGGTTCATGTTTGTTGTTCTGGCAATCGGCAGCGCTCGTAAAACAAAGCAAGGATGTAAAAATCCATTTTGCAAACTTTTTTTGTTATTACATTTTTGGAATTCCAAACTGCGTTTGTGTTTGGGGATTACAAAATTTACAAAAAATATTTAAGAACTTGAATTAGGGCTCAACAGAATAGTTTTGTACTTTCTGCTAATCAGGCAAAGAATGATAAAAAAATCCATGGATAACAGTAACTTAAATAATTGATTGTTGTTTTGAATTTGTAGAAATTTGTTGCTTAGTTTATGAATTGTTTAGTAATCAAAATATTTATGTATTCAGGCACAAAATTAATTAATGAAAAATGCTTGCCCTCACTCACTGATAAAGGATATATAGAAATTTTGTCCTCAATCCTTATGGAAGAGACAAAATTACAGCTTGAGTTTTATTTTTGATCAAAATAAAAATCATTTTGTTATCAGTTTTATTTTTTTGCTGATCAATAATGCTTATTGGTTAATTTTTAAAGTAAAACTGAATAATTTTTTCGTTTAAAAAAAAGAAAATAATCATTTTTTGCGGTCCCTGATAAATAATATAATACTATATATTGCTTAAAAGCATTACATTTTAGCCGAAAATCAATCTCTTGTTCAATTAATTGTTTGTTAATGTTTGTTTTCATTTCAAATGAGGCAAACAATTTGCACACAAATTTCTATTTTTTTACAAGTGGGATTTTGGAAGTGAAGACCAAAGTAATATTTGCAGAAAAAAACTATATTCATGTTAGTAAAGAATTCCACTTGGCTTCAATTGAACTGCCAATATATTTATGACTTTGGAAATTGTATAAATTGGTGTGCAAATTATTTTCATGTCTGACCATAACTTATTTTATCTGAAAAGTTATTTAAATAATTTTCTATAATACCCAGTAATATACCAAGTAGTTGAATGGCTTGATAGTAGAATCAACAAATTAAAAGCGAAAATTTGTTTAATTAACAAATTTAGTTTTTCAAATGATCGTTATTGATTCATGAATTGGAACTTTTAGAACCATTTAGGAAAGTTTGATTAATTAGCATATGTATTCTTTGCTTGTGCAACATTGTTTTTGTGTTCTTTTGTTGGCTTTTTAAACGTTGTCTCATTCCGTGATAATTGGCAATACTATAATTAACCGCCCAAAGACATATTTTGTTTAATGCCTGTTTTACTTAACAACCTAAACGGCAAGTGCAATGACTTGTTGCTGTTGCTGTTTTTGTTGTTGTTGTTGTTGCTGCTGCTGCTGTTATAGTAATAATAGACTTTAATGCTTTTAATAAGCAACCACAAGAGAAGCCCATCCACTGCTGTCCTATGCTGCACACTATAAAAGCAAAGTACCAGCAAACACCCAACGCGGTTGCAACTACCAACTAGCAACTAGCAACTTGCAACTGTTGCAGCTGCCATGCGTTCTAATTTGCGCAATTAAGACGCAACAGCAACAGCAACAGAAAGAGCAGCGCCGGCCAAAGGCGCAGATACTGTGCAAAAAGAAAAATAAAAGCCGCAGACAAGCCAGCCACTCAAAACTTGTCCGGCGACCACAAGACTAGAAAAGACACTTCAACTAGCGCCCAAGGAGCAGCAACAACATTTCTGCTTTTTTTGCTTTCTGTGCTCTTTGTAATTACAAAGGCAACAACAACAACAATAGCAGCTACAACAAATTGTTGTGTGCACCAAAATCTAGAACAACTCGGACATGAGCTGCATATGATGAGGCCTGTCGAGGATGCTGCTGCGATGGGACGAGATGAGAAGTGGATGTTGATGTTGTTGATGTTGTCTGTCTTGTATACTCCGGACTTGACTGCAGTTTTGGCTTAGAACTTGAAACTGTCATTATGAAAGCGCTGAGCATGCAATCAATACGAAAGCAACAGCAGCAGCAACAGCAGCAGCAACATGGCAACAAATGGTAGCAACATTGGAGCAACAACAAATTGTTGGTCGGGCTCATAAAAAATAAAGCAAAATAAATGGCAAGCAATGAAAATGTGCAGTTATGACCATGCCTTAGTGATGGGCCATGCCAAGTGGAGTGTACAAATATGAAATCGTATCAGGTGGCAGAGTCAGGCAGGAAGCTGCAACAACAACACCAGCAGCAGTAATACCAGCAACAACAACAACAAGACCAGCAGCAGCAGCAACCGCAGGCGTATTGTGCGTATGTCTGTGTGTGTGTGTGTGTGTTGATTGGCAACGTTTAAATTTTGTGCAAGTTGCGAAATGTTGTGGAAAAAGTACAACAACAACAACAACAACAGCAGCAGAGACTCAGCAGCGACTCAGCAGCAACAGCAACAGCAACAACAGAAAACCAAACCGAGGCAAACATGAAAAAGAGGTTAATTAACGTGCATTGGAACTGGCAATTATGGTGCTCTGTTATTGTTGTTGTTGTTGCTTTTATTTTTGTAGTCGCTGCTGCTGCTGCTGCTGGATTTTTATTACTTACAGCTCGCGTAGTTGCACCCAGTTGGCGACCGCTGCCACACACACACACACACAAACGTGCAACAGCAACATGTTTGCAGAAATTGGTTTACAACAGTGGGGCGTCCCCATGGCGCCTTACAGCTTTAAACTACAGCCCCCGTGCGGCGCCCGAAAGTTGTTTCTATTAAATGCAAATCAGTCGACGACGCATAAACCGAGCAGATTTTTTAATTACGAACAAAATTCCAATTACAAGCAAATAACGTTCGTAATATTGAAACGCTCTTAAAGTTGAAGGCAAACTTTTTCTGAAATGTTGATTCGATAAGCAATCTTGTGTTTCAATATCTTCCTAACTAAGGCAAAAAAAATTAATAATTAGTTTGCAAAGAGGGAATGCGCCAATGGGGTGCAAGAGCATCTCTTTGCATTTCGATCAAACCAGTTCTTTTAAGCAGGGACTGTAATCATTATAAGTGTTATTAAAAAAATAACAAAATAATGATTATTTTTTAATTTTATTAATTCGCCCAAAATTTAATGATTAATTTTGAGTTTTACTTTACAAATTAACCAATAATCATTATTGATGAGCAAACTTAGAAAACTTATACAATAATGATTATTCTTTGAGTTTTATTTTTTTATATCAAATATAAAACTGTAGTTGTAATGTCTTTTTGTAGCTCAAAACTGTAGTATAGTCTTGGCTTAATGTTTTTTCAATTATTTATAGGAAAGCTTCTAGAATGCTTTGTTGAAATTATAAGTATAATTATAAACTTCATCATCTTGTCCCACTGTGCTAGGGCATGGCCAAGGTAGGTTGATGGCGCAGCTAAAAGTTGACGCCTTTCGTTCGCCTTGAGAAACATACATAAGATAATTGCAGTTGCTCTGGCTGGCTATGAAACCGAACAATTAGTGCAATTTAATTAAAATTACAAGCAACAACAACAACAGTAACAGCACAGACTGCACTTTTATTCAAAGGCAAATGCAAGTCACAGTTCTCTTATTTAAAAATCCATTCATCTGTCTATTGAGGGACGAGACGACAGCCGCGCTCGGGCTCAAGTAAACCCATAGCTTAGTTCCGTTCCCTCCGCTCTAATCCATGACGTCGCCACTCAAATGGATGTGAAACATCATCAATTATGGCGCGCTTGTTTCATAAAGAAATTCCAGAGGCGCCTCTGAGTTGCTGGAGGTCCCACTGTGCGCGACATTTGCCTAGCTTTGAAATTTATTAATTAGTTTCTATATGGTTTATTTTTTTCGTTCTTGTGATGCTGATGTGGAGTCCAAATTCCATAGCCTGTCTACCTTCTGACCTGCCGCTTGTGGTTGTAGATTTTATTTTATACTTATGATTTTTTTTTTCATAATCTTTACGATTTATTTGCTTCAAGTTCTAATTTATCTTGTGTGAGATAAACCTGATTGCCACCACCAGCAATGACTGCTTTGGGTGTGTTTGGGCAGCTGCCCGTCGTGCGCTCGTCTGGACACACCTACAACATCGGCAGCAACAATAACAACAATAACAACAATGACACAACAATGGCAACAATAGCATTGTATTCGTAAATGTAGCGCATAATGTTTTTGGTGAACTTGTCAGGCGATTGTTTGAATTTATGTTGCCACAGTTCTACTCTAAAATTATCTTAAAGGCAACAATTTGGCAAGAGTGCTAACAACACGGAGTTGTTTGACATAAGTATTTATTAGTCAAGTTTTTTATTTCAATTTTAATGTGCCTTCTGATAAGAACCTTTTTCTACGGCTCATTAAATGGGTTTTAAAGTTAATTAAAGTCGTGATAGTACAGTCGAGTTTTCATTGAAATCGTCAAATTAAAATTTTTGAATTAAACTGTTAAAAATCGCGCTACTCTTTAATAAAAATGTAACAATATTTATGTAATTATTTATTTAATTAATGTGTCTACAATGTGGGCTTTCGACTTAAAAGAAAAGATACATAGGTTATGATCAAACTTTAAACCCCAAAAGTAAACAGCTGACCAAGTTACAATCCAAAATTTATACATTTCTTTTAAAATTAATGTATTACAAAAATATTCAAACATACTAAGCAGTTTCCATTTAAACTTTTGAGGAATTCTGTGGAATAATGCGTATAACGTCCTAAAAATTGAGAGAAATATATTCCTATTAAGATTTATAAAATTAGTTTTAGAAATAG